TAATATATATAAATATATATATATATATTAGCAGAAGAGTAAGAAATACGTATAATTTTCTTTGATGATCTATTCACAATTACGGTAACTTAAAAAAAATGAGATATAATTATTGGCATTCAATAACCTAGCTTACAAAAATAGAAGTAAACAGTATTAGTGCATTAGGTGCGAGGTGGAGGATATTTTCTGCTCTATGTGACCTTGTCTCTAAGAACTAGGAACAGTACTGATGTGGTTGGAACTCTACAAACAAGGTGTTAAGCCACATGGGCCAGATGACCATGCCTGGTGTTATTGTCGTTTTATAGATGAAGCATGATATAAATATAAAAACATCTATGACCGAACATGTGAGAACATGGATTTCCCTTTTTTCCTAAATCCTATCAAATCCACTAAACGAACCCCGACAAGCCTTAACAGAAAACTATTTCCCAAGACAGAAAAAGCAGAACAAAGTCATAAAATACAGAGTTTGTTATATACATTACATGAAGTAATCTTTATTCTTGGAGGTCTACTTCTGCATTTGTTTTGATTCTTTTTCCCCCACCTGGGTCCAATCAGCTGCTGTTACATCTGCCCACTCCATAGTAACGGCCCGGCGCTGAGCATCTGGGTTCAGGCCTTCTGCACCCAGGGCATGCCAACCCAACCCAACCAGGTTCCATGAGGAGTGTTTGCCCAGAACAGCCGAGGTGACGCCTTGTTTACTGTCCTTAACTATGCTGCTGTCTCTCACTCTGTCACTTTGTTTCTCACAGTCTTCTCTGCTTCACCATAGCACACAAATTGGCTCGGACAAAGATACACATAAACCGATTTCACCAGATGGTCTTTCATGGCTGAAGATGCGGATGTAAAGCACACGCTTGCTCAAAAATATGTACCACTTCTCTGAGCATCTTCACATGGAGATCCCCCTCTCATTATCACAAATGATTTTTGTGTTTAAAAAAAAAATAATAATAATAATAAATGTTATGGCTTGAATAGATATTAGTTGGCGTATACCTGCATGGTCTTAAAATATAACATCAATATAAGGAGTAAAAGTTAATCCTTTTGAACCTTTGAACTCTGGCTTGTGTCTTGATTGTAGCTGGATCATCTCAGAACTAGCTTGCTACACCCTATTCCATGGTGGTGGTTCCCCCTTTATGACACACTGGGCCAGACGCTATTTCGGTTCATCATCTAACACCTGGTAAGAACACACACATCCACACAGACAAATGCTAACTAGCAATCATGCCTAACACCCACCACAACACACCACACACCACACACAACACACACACACACACACAACCAGTATCTCAGGATGATAATCTCCTCCTAACCTAACCATTTTTTGAGTTTGGGATGTAAATAAATGACAAATAACCATCTCCTGTTTAAAACCCCATGGAGCTTCATATAATTGAAGTAGTATTCAACAGAACTCTTATCAGTATGGGGAAAAACTGTATGAAGCCAGTAGCTGAGCATAGCTTTTAGCAAGTAGGAAGCTCCACTCACGCGTGATGGAGAGCAACTAACAGTCAGTAGTAATACACTTGTGTTACTTCCTGGGTAAAAAGCCTAATTAAAGACTGAAAAAGCCATAGAACAGTCATAATGTGATAACTGTTCCTGGCAAATGTGTGACTATTGAGCCATTCATCTTATAAACTGTGCTTTTATAGACCTAAGTTTGTACTGTATGAACTGGACACTAACCACACATGCACTCAAGTTTTGTATTCCAACTATAGATTGATTAAGTTAACATTAGGATTAAGTTGATTATTTCAATCTTTGCAGTCCACAATCTCTCTCACATCTCTTTATTGAATCTGACATTTGATCAAATTTCAGCTGAATCCCGACTCCACATTTGTGTCGTTTTTGTTTTGTTTTGTTCTTTTTCGTTTCTTATTCCTGCTGATATTCACACAAGGGTGCGTGTGGCTCTTGTGTGCTTGTGTCATTTCAGCTGACATCATCCACGGTCATCTGTGACAAAAGTAGACAAAAGCTCAGGTGTTCTGGATAACGAATAACAAAAAGAAGGAGACTCCGGGCCTGCGAAGAATCATCCTGATGGATGCCTTTGACTAAATGCCCTTGTGGAGCATGGAAAGGCCTGCGGCACCGTCCACGGCAGGCCATGCAGAAGTCGAGGTATGACAAACATAGAGACGGTTTGGGTGCACTCAATTGGAAGGGTGGTGGTTCGATCCCCGGCTCCTCTCGCTGCATGTGTCCTTGAGCAAGATCCTGAATCCCAAATTGCTACTGCTGCTGTGCATTGGTGTATGACTGTGTGGGAATGCTTAGTTTCCGTTCTGGTGAGCAGTTGGCACCTTGCATTACAGCCACTGCCATCAGTGTATGAATGTGCCTCAATTGGGGAAGTGTGGTATGTAGTGTACAGCGCATTGTGTGGTCAAAAGACTAGAAAGGTGCTATTATATGTTTATTGAGGCCGAAAAAGTTGTCAGAGTGATCTGAATTACTCTTTAAAAATTAAACAGGCTTTTTTAGTGTGTTCTCCTGAGAACTCCTGGTTGTCAACAGCAGAATAAGAACTTGACAGATATTTACTGTAACTCAAGAAATGGTACTTTTACCACTTTTCCATCCCTGTCAGCTGTCAGCACTCTTAGCTTCATCTAAACACAAACACAATGTGTTTTATTTATATATATATATATATATATATAATTGTTTAAATTTTATAAAAAGTTGTTATATGTCAGTAAATTCAGGTTTTCAGGCAATGTGTCCTCTAGTGGCCATATCAACTACTGATTATTTTTTATTTCAATATAGTTACATTTTAGAAAAAGCCCAATTATTTTTTTAAACCAGCTGGACACTGTAGTTTTTAGCAAATAATACTATAAAATAAAAATATAATATAATAAAATAGAAGTACATTGTGCATTTGCCGGGGAGTATTTTCTGCTCTATTGATTGTTTATGGCAGCAGGACAGTATATGTGGAATTGACTACAGTGCCCATGTTAATGTTAATGAAGGAACATGTTGCCAGTGCAACACTGTGGCTCCTTGATGTGTTTTTAATTTCTGGACAGCCATGGAGCTCTATGGGTTAATAAGGAAAATATATTGTAATGCTGGCTGAGGCTACATTACTGCAGATAATTTTCATATCCATTCTTCTGTATGTCAGACAAACATTATTGTTTTTTCGCAAAGTAGATATTACCGTTAAACCGTGATTAACCCGAACATTCATGGTTAGACTGTCAGTGAAACAGCATTTGATTTAACTATGCCACCACAGTAATCGCAGCAGCAACTGCATACCTTTTTATAGTCTGCTAAAATCCAAGAGTCTCAACTATGCACAAGCCAGTCAAAACAAACTAAAGGTAAGATTTAATCAGCACAGACCTAAAAAAAAAAATCCATGGGCATGTTAGATGGCATCTCTACTCATGGTATATACAAGCACAAAATCACACACAGACAATACAAAGTGCAATAAAATTGACACATGTTGTTACGTCTCTATGTTTGAATTACAGTAATTTCACTGCTATTTTCATTCCTGTAATTGTTAATGCTTCATTAGTACAATCATAACAACACACATGTGAGACTGGTCCTGCAGATCATAGCTGTGTCTGTAGCAAAGGCCTATTTAAGATAAATGCAGATTTTCTTTCCCTTTCTTACTTTATTTCTGAATGTATCATAAACAGAAAGGATTTGTACACTTAAATCAAATGGTTTTGTAGCCAAATTATGATATTCCAATGAGTTGCAAAAAAAAAGACTTCACAGGAAAACAGTTGGCAGTCATTTAACATAGTACGTAACTTGCATTTTTCTGTGATGATCAGCCTCCATGGAAGTAGCTAAACTATGCCAGTGTGGTAGACGCCCAGTTTATCTTTGTTTACCGCGTGGCTTAAAAGAAATTACATGACTTATTGCAAGTGCTGGTAAACACAGACCCAAAATCACAAATTCAGTAACAAAGTGTGTGTGCACAAATGCTATTATGAATGCAGGAAGTTTGACACATTTATATTTCTAGAGATGGTAGAGATGTTTGTTTTCCATTAAAATACCACCACCAAAATGTTTGCCGTTTGGCAACCAGATGATGAGAGAGAAAACATTCTGTGGTCAAGATTGACCTATGCTGTCCTTGGTTTAGAAAACACTTATGATTTATGCATATGAAGTCCATTAGTCAATAAGTAATAGTTGTTTTAATGTTGTTTTTTCTTACAGGCTCTGGGCAGAGAGCACTACAGAAACCCTATAGTAAGTACTCATTAAAAATTCTACTATACATTAGTAAAAATACACTGTACAACATTTTTACATTTTTAATTCAATGATAGCAGCATGGCTTTGTCGGTCCATGACTTAATTCAGTTCAATTAAATTTAGTTTTATTTGTATAGTGCCAATTCATAACAAATAGAGCAGGTCTAGACAGTACTCAGAGATCCAACAGTTCCCAACATGAAGCACTCTGCGATGGTGGCAAGGAAAAACTTTAGTCCAGACTGAAATATCTCAATACTACATGATGAATCTCACTCTACTCTATGTTTATTTCTTAGCAGGAGATGTTAACATGCTAACACACTAATGAACATGGCAGACTTTGTCATTTTGAACATTTTAGCATGCTGATGTTAGCATTTAGTCAACAAGTCCAGCCTCACAGAGCCATTAGCATTGTTAAGTAAATGCTCTTTTTGGTGTAATGAACTCAGCACATGTAACTAAACTTGTTTAGAGACTGTTTAGTGATTAATGTAACAGCTAAAAATCTAATCTGTATCCTTCAGCATAATGTGTTGCTGATTGTTTTTTTTTTTTTTTTGCTGTTCTGTCCAAAATAAGTATCTGTAATGTGACAGATCGTTTGGCTTCACTCAGTTTGCTGTTGTTTACTGATAAAGCACTGAACATTGACAATTATGCCCCAACCCTCTGGCTACTGGGCATTAGCCAGCTAAGCTAGTATTTACTGTGTTCAACTAGGTGACAGCTTTTTGGCAACTTACACCCGGAGACTGCACGAACTACTACTGGTACGACGCCAGTGACTTAACGTTCCTTATTTTATAGTGACGTGTCAGTGCAGGTTTCTCCAGTTCCTCTCATGTTAAGTTGAATGTATGTCTAATGGTCTGTCTGATTTTCTCCACAGCCACCAGTACCGGATGACCTATCCATTGTGTGTTTCACCAGTGGGACCACAGGTAATGATTGTATGAATAACATACATTATTAGGGCCCGAGCACTGAACGTGCGAAGGCCCTATTGTAATTGAAGGAATTCTTATTTTTCCTCCTAAACAAACGCATATTTTGCGAGGCCTCAACATGCTTCAAGATACTCATTGAAACTCGCGGCACATGTCAGTCGGTGGCGAAAAAATTTTTGATATTTATGTGTCGGCTTTTCGTTTCGGCCACTACGTGGCGTCTACTTATTCATAAAAAGTGCGTTTAGGCTGGAAATAACTTCTGCATAGTTTTGGTCGCACATTCAAAAACCTGTATATCCACGCGTTCAGTGAATGGAGCTGAAACTCCCCATTGACTAGGCCATGCCCACTTCCTTCAAAATTGTTTCAGTACAGGCAAAAAAATGGTGTCTGATAAAAGTTGTGCTATTTGGCATGTACGTTTGAAGGGCGTGCCGTGGCGGCCGTCAAAAGTTGGCCAGGTTGAATCGAATCTCAAACTGTGATGCATTTCCGGCATTTAAGGGCTTCTGGTTTTAACTAAACTCCTCCTACAGATTTTATCAGATTTGAACTTCAAATTCGATCACTGCAATCTAGACACATTGGGATCAAAAGTTGTGCTATTTGCGACTTACGTTTAAACCGCGTGCCTGTGACGACGTGGTCGAATTCCCCACCAATTGGCCTAAAACACTTAGTACTCATATCTTCCAGTACCCTGAACACGTCCTCAAGCGTACATGGTCCAATCTCAGTGGAAACTTCACAGCGTTTGATAAGGAGTCCGCCCTAAACACGTTCATGACAATATTCAGAACTATAGTGATAGCGCCACCTACTGGCAACAGGAAAATAAGCGCTGCATGGCAACTTTTGATCTGATTTACATGAAATTTTCATGTTTTGGTCTGCACGTGTAACGCCTGCACGTGACGCGGACACAGCACACCCCGAGTTGCGTGGAGTGCGAGGGCCCGTTCATTGCTGCTTGCAGCTTTAATTTGTGTTTGTGTTTGGAATTCTGTTTTTATTAAACCGCTTCTCCTCGAGCAACAGTATGTGCAAAATATTTCCCATACTGCATCATGCCAAGCCAGGGAACAGTATGCCCCAATTTAATTAGCTGACAACCACACCTTTAACAAGGCTTCCCTCGCGAAATCTGTCCAAACAATGTTTTCACTTTATTATTGCTCTTGCATGTCTACAAAGGGACATGATCACTGACCTGATACTGCTCTCTTAAATTCTAGTCAAACAGTAATATGCTCTCTGACTCATCAGTCTACTCTTTGTTCTCCTTGTTTACAAGTTATAAAAAGGTCACTTAAGATTTGAACGGCAGGTAACTTTGAATTCAAACAATTTAAAATGCCAATAAATGACAAGATTTTTGACTGATCTACTATTCTTATTCTGCATTATTTTGCTAACGGGTTGAACAGAACAACCTGCTGATGACACACCTATTCCAGTCAGTACCAAATTCCTTTCCAGGCCAAAGCAGTGATATAGCAGTATTCATTAACATGCATTCATTAATTTTCCCCTCAAGAGTGCTGATAAAACCTTGGGTTCACAGATAAAACCTTAGGCTGGCTGCAACATCAGTTATCTGCCCTTTGCTTTTTATCTGTCAATCCCATGTGGACACAGCATGTCACTAACACTGTCAGGATTTGCCAGTACAAACTTGGATTACCCATTACCGCACTCATGACGACATTGGGTGTTGTCAATGAAACATTTAATTCAAAATAATGATAAAACAAAAGCTCTAAATGTCACACATGAGACATGAAAATGTTTTGAGACTTTGATATGCATGTTCAAAAAATAATTCAGTAACTGAATACTGTGACTGCACAGCACACTTTGAAGCATAGAAGTTCTTTTAAGGTTGGGTTTGTGAAACAGAGTAGTTCGCAGGAATCAAAAATCTGTCTGAAATTCGATATATGGGCATTTCTGTGTAATGCATTTTCTTTGATAAGAAAAACACCATAAAAAAGTAAAAGTACAACAGGGACACTCTCTTATAGCTGGGATTATGATGATTTTTGGACTTAAAAATGGATCAAATACTGTTTTACGAGGAGAGAGGGAGACAAGCATTTACTGTAAATGATTCCAGTTTCTTCACAGCAGCAGAGTGACATAATAGCAAGAGGATAATTCCTTTGCATGACCTGAAATTCCAAATGGCAGCACATTCAGAAGGCACCACTGCTTTTGCCAGAGGTCTTATCTCACAGCAGCAACAGCCTCTGAAATCAACAGACAAGGGGAACAAAAGGAGGGTTATGTGAGGACGCACTGGTGTCAGTTTACAAGTGACATCAGCTGTAGCTAGCCAGTTGAGGGTCCACTGAAAACGCTGCCACCTGCAGGCTTTGAGAGAGACATGCAGCCATACAAACATGGGTTTAAATTTCCACAAATCACTCTTGATTTCCTGAGAAATCCCTCCATCTTTGTTGCAACATCTATTCAGCTTTGAAGCTCTAAACCAGCATTGCCCACACACTGTGGGAAACAGATGACATGTCTGGAAAGAGGAACTTAAAAGTCATTGCTTCATATACTTTAGACTACTGTGTGTGTAGAAAGGTCTGAGCAATACTATTACGGCAACTTGGTAAATGTTAATTTTAGCCTGTTATAGGAATTGCAAACAAAATGACTATGATTCAGGATTTTTTTTTTTCACACTAAAAGTGCTGTTTATAATTGTGACATAATAGATTTCTAATTTTGCATGGCTTCAAACCACAGTCTGGTAATTTAAGTATTTATTTAAGGCAAAGATGTTGTCCATCAATGCAGGTTTTAAAATAATGAAACTTTAGGAAAACTCACCTCAGTTGAAATAAATTATATTATTTTTTTTACCCCACACCATGTTCTCAGTCTGTATCCTACAGTGTGTCTCTGCTTTGTGTATCCCACCTGATTGTACACTATAGTGCAAAAACTATATATAAATGGTCCTTTGTTAACACAAATCCTTCCTGGGTTCCAAGACATTACTTGTGATTCAAATTCCGAGGAATTTCTTTCAAAACCCTCTTTTTTTCCTGATCAGATTTTGTTCTACCTTTGGATGACTATGTGACTGTGGGTTAGGTGAGGAGAGTTTCACCTCTTTGATGTCTTGGTGTGTGTGTGTGTGTGTGTGTG